CACAATTAAAAATTATCAGAAAAAATGTGTGATGATTTTTCAAGGCTTTTTGTTAAGCCCCCTCTACACATAACGTTATACATGTCAGTTTTGTTTGTCAGGTAAAACGGAAGAACGTCTAGAAAACTCACCAAACGGTCGTCTGTCTTAGCCTTTAAAGTGTGGTCCACACGTAACGACTTATAGTACGATTTGCTTGCGCCTACAAAACGTTGCAGACAAAACATAGAAACCAAGTTGTGTCCACATTATACAAGGGCGCATATACGGGAGGGGTAATTACTCCTCCTAGGAAGATTTATATAAGATAAACGTGGTATAAAGTGTAATTGTCACAAAAGTAATTAATAATATCAATCAAAATAGAAAATCCAGGCCAATCCAAGTTTATTCTTTTCCACAGTGAATACCATTAAACAAATATTTAATTTATATCTAGTACTTTACTTAAATATTGCTACTACCCTTCTTTGACTCTATCTCTAGATACACCACTGATATAAGAACTTGTCCTTCACTCTTATGTATTCTGTCATATCATCATGGAGAAAACACTGTTGTAGCTAGTTTTTACTATTTGTTTAAATAAAGTTAAAAAAAAGACGAGTTAGACGTCTTAACTATGTCCCTAGTAGAATTTTTTGGGGTCTTTGATCGTTCAGAAAATTAAGTAAATTAAAGTTCTTAGAATCGATCAATCTTATCCAGATTGATTTTGTGTGATTGAGTTGAGTGGAGGTTTTTCCGAACCAGGATCTGAGTTTGGCGAGACAGGAAATTCTCCATCGTCCTGGACATCGTTTTCCCCAAGATCCTTGCCTTGGAAGATGCACTGGAGCAGCTGCTGGTCATACCTACCTTCCTTGATTCCTCATCACGTGGCCTAGGTATAGCAGCTTTCGGCGTTTGACCATGTTGACGAGCTCCAAGTTTATTCGTCACAGGACTTCGATGTTTGCGACCCTGTCCGTCCACGGTATTCTCCTGTACAGTAAAGTTCGAAGGCTTGCAGTTTGGATATGAGGATATGGTGTCTTCCTTTAGGGTCCAGGTCTCTACGCTATACATTGATTTTTTAATATTTTATAGAGTTAGGTCGTGGTTTTAAAGATTGCGCTTTTGGCATTTCCAATTTTGCACTTGATTTCTTGCGAGTTGTACGTCTTTGGTGGAGAAGCTCCCGCTCAGGTGCCAGGGGAATCCCCTCTGGCATTTTGGCTGTGTTTAAGAAACATCTCATTGTCTTGTCCCTGGCTGCAGTGTCGCGGCCAGGGAATTGGGGATATTGCCTATAACGATTCCGGATGAGACTACCCTGTCCGTCATATCAAGCACTCTCTATTGTCTATAGTCATTGTAGCAGGGCAGAAGGTGTGGGGGGGGGTCTTAGCTTAACCGCCTGGACCAGGAGGAGACAACCTCAACAAAAACCTACATAAATCCTATGATGGTGGGACCAGGTCAAAGGGCTGCGTGGCTAGATAGAAGACTCTACTGGTCTCAACCTTGGGGCACCAGGGGCAACCCATTGTATTCTCGTCTCCCTTACTACTACATGCGGGCTCTGTAGAAGTGGACCGACTAACCCTTGCGATGTAATTGACCTCAAATTCAATGGTATAGGCAATAGAAAAGAGGGATATATCCTTTATTATATATTCGGGACAACACCGGTATCAGGTCTAAGGAGAGACCAAGTTGAAAAACCGGAAAAAATGGAGAAAGATCCTCCAGCTTCCACCGCACGGGTATCTCAGCCGGAGACAAGCTCCTCAACTGTGAAGTGCACGGAGGGCTAAACCCCAATCGTGGAAGAGTGTATACCCTCGTAGGAGGTAGAGGCCCACTCCTCGATGGGAAAGGATGGGAATTACCCTGTCCTCCCTACAACAGGAAGATCCCCGTGTATGATGAGCTATAGACTGTATGCAGAATTTATTAGTTGTATGATGAGCTATAACTCATAAAAGAGGGACACAATAGACTTTTAAGGTCGCGGTGATTAACCCCTCTTACTCATTCTACATTCTACAATGTTCATCAGATTATGCAGGCCTTCGATGGTATCGGCAAACGGCAAGTAAGAGACGGTTTATAAAAATCGTAAGACTGACAGGAAAAAAGTTATGTGTAGACAGACCTTAATTGACTTTTTAAGTATTTAAAATATTAATACTGTTAATTGCTATTAATAATGATTTATCAAAACGATTTTTTTTCGATCGATGCAATTATTCTTTTCAACCAATAGAATTATACGAAACTAAAATAGGTTGTATAAATTTGAACCGTACCATATTTGAAAACTAGTTCTCTTAGAACATATGGTCAAGTGTCTTACGTTATATACGCGTAATATCCAACAAAAGAGAATTAAATTGTAAATCGCAATATAAATAATTAGGTCGTTAAATTTAAAGTTAGATTTATTAGTTTAGAAAAATTGTGTAATAACTATAAGAAATTAGAATAAGTATAAATTTTGGATATACTATCACGCAACAGAAAAATCTAATAATATAACTATAGACATTTTTTTTTGGTAAATTGTCACTAACTTTATAGTCCAAAGCTCCCAATTAGACACACAGTTATTAATAAAAATGAAGAAACTATTCATTTAATTATTTTTATTAACAGAAAATCGAGATGTGATTCTATCAAACACTTTTTAGTCAGAGACACCAAGTAAACCTATATTTTTTTAATAATAGGGGAGCCAAGATACTAAATGGGGATTTACTCGAGGGTCATGTGGACCTATTGTACTGTGAAATGAGATGCAAAAATGAAAAAAAGGTTACATGATGTATGCTCTTTCACTGGTGAGAGAAGCGTGTACAGGTTTTCAAATAAGTAAAAAAAGCCACAAAGAAATACTTGGGCGTTTCATATAGTAGAAAGGGATGTTAAGTTAAGTGAACCTTACGGGAGATTCTATTCAAATGACTGGCGATTTGGACGTCACCAAAACTCATAGTAGATTTTTTAGAAATAAATACTTCTCACCACCACTCTTTATTGATTATTTTGGCTACTTCAGCTTGTTGAGATTATTTAAATGGACTCTTTTCTACATGTAATTAACTCACTTTGTCTTAAGCTGACGCGCTCAAGTTTTTCTAATTATATTTTTTTCTACTATTCTGATCGGCTGGCCTACACGCATGTTCCTGTATAAAAGGTTCATGTAAGGCGGAGGTACTTAAGAGGTTGCAAGGTTTAATTCAAAAATTCCCGCATTGGCTCCCCTACTATAAGCAGGTCGTCAAATCTAATAATTCGGAAATTTTTAAAGATAACACCTTATCTCATTACACATTGTTTCTTAGGTATTTCTCAGGACAGACCAAATTTAATTTCTAGAATAGAAATGATTCGATCACAAAAAAAAACACAAACAATGTATGGCAATTCCGTTAGAATTATGATTTTTCCACGTAATACTGACCTAACTATAAATAAATGTTACAAAATATGCTTCAAATAAGTAACTCAAAAAAAAATATAAAAAAATGTAGATAAGTATTGATTGATCTTGATCCTCATTTGATAAAAAATTGTTTATCTTGGATTAATAATTTTAGAAAAATGCATTGTAATTATTCTTTTAATACACGCTAATGCATTTTTACAGTTATTTTCAACTAAGCTGTCAGAATAAATATTAATAATAATTTTGTAGAAAGTTTTTTGGGAATGTTTTCGTATATAGATTTTATCATGTGAACGATTAAAACATGTTCGTAAAAAAAATAAAACCGGAAATTTTTGTTATTCCGTCATATTTCCGGAAATGACAAAGATAAGTTCAGCTACTTAAAGGATTATAATTATCATTGGACTCATTGACGGAGCCACTCTGCCTCCATTTTAGCCACCCTGTATCTCTTTTCGTAAATATGACCGAAACTATAACCCTCTATAACGATGCTATTTTAAACTATGTTGATTTATGTTAAAAAGTTATATATTATGTAATGCACTTTTGTATCGTATTTATGAAAATGAGAATAGACTATAGCTATTATATTTTTAGTAAGATCATAACAAAACAAATAAAATAAAATAAAAAAATATACAGGATGTCCCGTTAAAAAAAAATTGAATCATATTTTGAACAGCTCCCAGCGAAAAACTAGTGACGTCATTGGATTCTACGTGAAAAACTCCACGGTATTCAGTTTTTACCTTTTTGATAAGTTATAAGATCACCAAAACCAAGATATGCAGAGACCACCAAAACCAAGAAAAACGCAACATTTTCAAATTCACCCTGTATTTCAGGAACTAATAGGGCTAGGACAAATCTGTGTGTAACAATTTTTAGTTTTAGAAAAAAATAGAACAGTGATGTGAAAATCGCATCTTTGTATTTCTACTCATAAGCAAAAAAAAACATTAAACACATGAAAATGGGACACCCTGTATATGTAGTTAACGTTGATGGGAAACGCCAAATCAAAAAAATATATATTTTTTGGGATTTATTCATTTACATTCTGTACAAGAAAATTGAATTGATGTGCTGAATAATAATGTTGAAAAAATAATTAATATTTTTTTTAAACCTTCATTATCCCATACTTTTAAATTTAACAAAAAATAAGATTTCTCCTGTATGAAAAGTTAACTATTGTCTATAAATATAGCTATAGTTTAATTAAATCTGACATAATAATTAAAAATAACTATATAGAATTTACTTTAAGAGGTTCAATAGAAAAATTAAAATCACTTTCATTTTTATCTTCTTTGCGTTTAGTGAGTATTAAAATTGAAAAATAATCCTTGCAAATGCATGTTCCTTTTGTTAAGATCGTCGATCATTATAATAAGTTAAATTGGTACCGCTCCTATATAAAACAATGACATACAAAAGACTTTGTTTATCATTACTTATATCCCTTCATGCTTTATGTGAATTATTACGAACAACAATAAAAGAAACCTTGAGAGAATGCACTGTGACTAAAACATTTTTACCAAATTTCACTTACATATTAATCACTGTTTTTTTCTGTTTTAATGCAGGTACCATTCACCTTGTAAACAAACTATTCAACTAAAGTGCGACACTGCAATCCAAACGAATGCGAAAGTTATTTCGTGAAAGTACTCGTAAAGTCGTACCGAAATCGTCTGTATCTCTTGGCGACCAAAAGATTACTAAAAAGTACTGCTGACTGAATCTAAATAAACGAATATCGAATGGTACGACGTACAGTGGAGTGTTTTATGTGAAAGCATGGCCAAAAATATATTGTGGCTTTTTCTCAACACTATAGTCACTAGTCACTATACCATAAAATATTGTATGGAAGGAGGAAGTTAATCACCGCAACCTTATACATCTATTGTGACCTTCTTTCTTGAGTTATAACTCATCAAACAGTCTCAGGGCTTTGAAAAAAATCGTATCAGATATTTTTTTTTTGAATTACAGAGGTTAGTTCTCCATCTCCGATATCAGTCGTACCTAAAATGAGGTTATATACATTATAATATAACCTCATTGGTCGTACCAAAGTCTATGGCACGAATGGTTGTCGTCTCGGCGCACTCAGTGATAAGGTGTTGAGTTCCTTTAAGTACCTTTTTTAAATATTAATTTTAATTTTCTTGTATTACCAATTTTCTACTAGTATCTGACTATTAATTTATTGTTGTTAGTTGTTACAGATGAGACTAAAACCACATAAAATAAAACGGTTAATTTTCGGAACATTTACAAACGGAAAAATATGTTTTTTATAAATATTAACCGATTTTGTATAGTACTTTTATTATACATACTTCCTTTTATTATACACCAAGTATCCATTACAGTTTAGATGTTATCGAATACATGTCCATTAAAAAATGGTGATATATGTTTTGATCAATATGTGATATATGTCGATGACATAACATAAAGCAAATCTAAAGCACGGCATATAAATCACACGGCAGGCCAACTCGCTTTGGCGGGAACGCTACGCGCGTACCCTAACCCTAGCGCACGCCGCCATTATGGGTGCCAGCGACAGAAATTAACCAGTAGAGATGGGAAAAAATCGATTCCACGGCAGATCGATTTTTCGATTATAAATTTAAATATGAATCGATTTATCGATTTAAAAAATCGGTGTGATTAAAAAGCCGATTTTTAATTTTTTTAAATAAATAATAAAGTTACAAAACAAGATCTTTGATATGCTATTACATTACTATTGGTCTAGGGTCTAGGTTAACACTCCACACCTAAAGTTAACACACTAAGTTAACACTCCACACCACAAAAAAATAAATATAAAAAAAAATAATACAAAACAATAAAAAAACATTAGTTTTTTGTTCTTCCTTTAGAGGTAGAGATCACATAGATAAATATTGCTTTACAAACTTAAAAAATTTTGGTTCTTGTTTACAAAAATCATTTTATTTACATTTTTTGACTTTAATCGACTTCGTTTGGCTGAAATTATTATGCCTGCCTGTAGAAAAACCATCTCAGAGGGCACTGACGTTGCATTAATACATAAATACTTTAGGGCCAAAGTATCTAAATATTGGTAAAGTGAAGTTTTTTATTTTTGCAACAATTTACTTATTACTTTCTTTATAGTAAAGGAATAAAATCGAATTATCGATTACTCGATTAAAAAATTAAAAAATATCGATTTTTCGATGCTCAGGCAAAAATCGATTAATCGATTTTTGAAATCGATTCTTTCCCATCTCTATTAACCAGTGTCGTAGTCAGTCGTAGTCTTTGTCATCGACAACCAGAGATATGGAAGTGGGAGAATGAGCTTCGACGAGTGCGCATCCAAATTTTTGTCGACGGCAAGATGGCAGACATCTTCCAGGTCTCGCTGTCACTTCCCCTCTTTAATTGACATCTGTTTGTTTTGTTTTTTTTTCGTTCGTGTTGTTATCTGTTGTTATCTAGTTAAAATTTATTATTATCTCAATCAGAGTCTCAATTATTCTAAACACTAATTCAAAAAGGCTTATTGTGTATTGTCATAGTCATTCTAAGAAAGCTAATACGCCGGGAAAAATGATTAGTTTTCATGTGTAAGTTTATACAGCATAATCGTGTTTACAGATGATCCAAAACTGTTTATTTTAGTTTTCCTAATGGCGATTTGTAAAAATCGTGATTGTAATTGGGAATGGTCAAAAATAAGTGTATGATGTGGCCATTTAAAGAGGATGTTTTTATTACGTGTGGAGGAAGAAGATACTTGGAATCAATGTTCATGCTTCTGTAAAACAGTGCACTCTTATAGTGTCCATGAAAGCACAAGTTCATGTGTACCAGAAATATGTCAAATAAGATTGGTCCTTACTTGACAAGAAGATTATTTGGAGGAAAAGAAAACATAAGATAGGGTATTTTAATCGAACAGCGAAAATTTAACATTTTTATTGGAAAGTTTGTTGTAGGTAGTTGTAGTTTTGTGCTTAATATTTCTAACATTAGCAGCAGCAGTGTTCAGAGTGTCAAGAGGAGGAGAATTCAGTTAATTAGATTTATGCACAGTTACAGGTATGAAGGCTTTTTCAAACATAGTATCAAGTTCTATAGTCAACATTTTTAGTATTCCTACAACTCTAAAAACAAGGAACATTGGACTGAAAAAATGGCAAGATTTATATAGGAAGAAAGGGTATTATGCCAATAAGAAAATTAAATCTGTAGGCAGAAGTTTCTTATTTAAAAACTGTTATGGGGCATATATTAATTTGTATCTGTGCCACAAATCACTGAGAAAAATCATATAATATTCATAATTGTTAACGAGATGATATTTAAAGAGTGTTAAAAATGAGACTATTAGTCATGAAGCTTACAGTGTTACTTTGTTTCAATATTACACTTTTATTCTTGTAAAATCTATGATGAAGTTCAAAAGCATTTTGCAATGGCCTTAAATTGTGAGTTGTGAGCCAGGATTTATAGTAAAGGTATTTGATGCAATGAAACTTAATCGGTACCTTCCAGTATGTATTTTAGTAAGGGGATTGTCAATCCCATGTTTTTAAATAGATAAAATACAGGCCAAAGTTGACAATATTACAGTTGAGAAGAAACTATTTTATCTTAAAAAAAAATTTCTTAAAATTCTGAGATCATATAATCTAATTTTCTTAATAATAAATTAGGTATATGTACATACAGAATTTTGTTATGGACAAATAAGGATCGACAAGCTTCTTTTGTGCAAAAAATAAATGATTTTTTCTAGTATTACGACAAACCATAATGTGTTTTACAAACTTACCGGTAACAGTTTTTGTTTATAATAAAATATTTAGGAATAATTTGGGTTGTTTATCAATATATTAATGACTTGAATTTTGACAAATCGAATTTGTATCAAAATAATTTTACGAAATATAAAATTGATGTTCTATTACAAGATTGAGTTTTTATTGTCGACAAAAACCAGGATAAATACTAATAATAATACCCTTAATAAAATCAATGATGTTTATGTATTATGAAAATATTTGTTAGAGGACATGTTATGTAACAGTTTTTGAAACATAATTTGAAGGGACGAATAAAAAAAATAAAACAAAAACATATTTTTTCTAGGTTTATATTAAAAATACAAGGTAGATAATCATCAAAAATAATTATGAACCAAATGTTTTTTATGAATATACAACTTGAACAAAAAGTTGTTTAGAACAATTTTTACCAAATTTGCAAAAATTTTAAATTGAAACGCGTAATTCAGTACAAGTAAACATGAAATATTGTAAATACTTATTTAATATCATTTCGAGTGTTTTACGACGAAAAGGTCATCTGTCCGTAGCGTCTTTTGTCAGAATATTCGTATATTTAGTGTATTATATACCAATATTGTACGCAGTTTTGAAACTGATAATTAAATAAATCATATTAATGTTAACTAACCATAATGAATGATAGAATTTCACTAAATTTAAATTGCCCCCCGTATGGTTGAAAACAGCAAATTGATATTTGATTACTTATAGATTACCACCTATATACAAAATGACAGGAAGACCTGGAATATGGCGCCCAACTTGATTAGACCTTCTGCGCATGTTGACGCTCATTCTCTATCCCTTTTATTTCTCTGTCGACAACGTACAGTTACGGCAGCTTTGAGTCAGTAGCGTGCGGCTTAATTTATTTTATTCTTTTCTTGAGTGATATATTTTTTTTAGTTTTATTTTTGTTTATTGTGTGATATATTTGGTTTTTGTAGTTTAGTAGTACAATGGAAGTCCGAAATTCTTTTAGTTTTAATACTCAGTCGTTGTCTACGGCATTCAAAGTAATTTTTATTATTAGGTATCGTGCAAAATGACAAACAAGATTAATTTTTAAATTACTGTTTTTCTGATTATTCGTATCTATTTTTAATTTTTATGGATAGCTCATGACAACTCAGAGAAAAAAGAAAAGAGGTCTCGTTTTTTTATAAGGTCTGCCGTTTTTAATAAGATGTTTGCCAGATCATTTTGGCAATTTTCAGTACCCGTATGAAATATTCGGACACAAAGTTTTTAAATGTTCTTCTAAACTGGATGAATTTATCCTGGATGGGAATAATGACAGATTTACAAGATATTGGAATTAGAAGAATTACAGGAATTACAAGATAAAGTTGTACCAGATTTTTATGAGTGCAACTGTACACTCAAATCGCTTGTCGCTAAGCTTTTATATAATATAAAATTGTGTAATGACATAATAAAAGTTTTAAAGAAAAAGTTTATTTTTTCTTTTTAATGTATTTAAATAAAAGCTTGTTTTTAAAAAGGTTTTTTTCTTAAATTTATTTTTTACTTTTTAAGTTATGCTGGTTTCTCAGTTCCACACACTTAAACTCAATTCTTTTTCTTAAATAACTACCTATGGGCATCCTAATAATATGTGTATCGATTTTCATAAAAAAGAAGAACTTAAAAAAACGACAGCTGTCAAATTTGACAGTTCAATTGTGAGACAAATAAAATGAAAACCGACTATAGGGTAGGGAGCATCCAATATATCGATTTTTATCAAAATCGGACAACTTTGAGATTTTTTTGACAGCTGTCAAATTTGACAGCTCAATTTTTTTTCTTTCATTTTAGCCCATGGCCATCCTATATATCGATTTTTATCAAAATCGGACAACTTTGAAATTTTTTTG